ATGTAACAGAATCTGCCAGCATTTACATTTATACTTTTGTTTCTCAGGGGTAGAAAATTTGTGAAAATACATGGTTGTTCTTAGGCAACCACTTTTAAAACTCCTGTTGCTCTAATATAATTATTATTCAACAGCTTTTCTAACATGAATAGTTAGTCCTAATTGCACATCAATAATGCTAATGGAAAGGTGTTTTACAAGTTTACACTTATGTAATGTTTCTAAGATCCTCTTTAAAGATATTTTAATTTTTTATGCCATTATGTTGTCCATCAGTTTTCTATCTGCTGGCCACCATTGACCACAAACATGTACGTATTTTGTTGTTGTTTTTCTGGGGCTTAACACCATTTTTCAGCACACGATTGGCTATATATGGCGGCCAGTATTAATGGTGGAGGAAGAAACCAGGAAAGAACCACTGACCCATCATTATGGTTCATTGTATCATTGATCTATTGTTATTAAAAATCCTGTATCTAAAATGTCAGGAACTGTAAATAATTTATCAGGGATCTTTTAGCCATGAGCCAGTATAATATGCAACAACAATTGTGATGGCTTGATATTTTAAAGTTGCAGTGTTTCTTACCTAAAGTTATACCCAACAGGAGCAACTTTCTCATGCTCATCAATGATAATCCACTTTTGTAACAGACCAGTCAAGATACTACTTCATTTCTCTTTTTTTTTTCTCAGAAAAGAAAAAAGAAATTATGCAAGTCTTGTTATTTTATGGGCTCTCCTTGAGTGGCTGGTAGTTTGGCTGTGATTGCTTAATCAGATAATAAATAACTGACACATAAGGATTACGTTATAATTCTTAGTTATAATTCTTATAATTCGCTTTAAAGTACAATCAAACTGGAGACAACTAAGATCTTGATCTGCTCTAGTACAGTGCACCTGCAAATTAGGGTCTATGTTGTTTTGTCCTACTGATTTCTCCTCACAAACTGAACTGAACCAGATCAGCTGGCACATTATGTGAGGGCAAATCTGGGTTTGTGTAGTTTGCAGTTGAACTCATAAGCCTGTATATACGGCAGTGTTGCCTCTTACCAACATCAATCACCTTACATTCAACTACATGTACAGAATTGTATGGAGATAATTCAAGCACAATGCTGAAAGTACCACTAGGGGCACTAATTGCCATGCTTGTCACTGGAAAATACACAAATGACATTGAAATGTTTAACTTCTGCTGGTACCATGTGTTGCCAGACTGGTCGTTCCTGTTGGATTACATGGTTGCCTGGGATTCATTTTTTTATGACTTTGGCTATGGGCAATGGATTTTTCAACTCGTGTATTTTTGTTTAAATATGTCTTATATGTAGCTAAGAATTTCTTTTTTCAATGGGGGGTCCCTTGCTAAGAATATTAGTATGAATTATTGTAATAATCAAATGTTATCTGTAAAGGGAAAGACAGTCATGTGTTTGCTTATTTCCACCATTTGGATGGATTTCTGGATTTACTTTTAAAAATTGTTGAAAAGTTGAACCTGATAAATGCATAAATGAATTGTTTTCTTTCAACTGTCAAAATAAAAACCATAGCTTTTTACAAATTTTATGTAATTCTAATGAATTCAATTTAGTTCATCAGGAACTTGTGTTAGAGCATCCGCCTCGGATGCAGGAGGTCGCGGGTTCGATGCCCAGACGAGTCATACCAAAGACTTATAAAAATGGTACAAGCAGCACTCAGCATTAAGAGGTTAGTTCTAGGACTGGTTTAGCCTTGCGTCAGGATACTATGACTGGGTGGGACATGATGCTATATGTCTGCGGCATGATGCCCCAGTGCTGGACATCACTATAAACTGCCACACTGCATCGTAGTGATATGAGTAAAAGTTTTAAAAGCCACGTTATAAACGTCAATTATATACATACAAACAGGAATTTGTGCCCCCTATTTGTGCCCCCTATTTGTGCCCCCTATTAAGGCAAGATCATTCTTATGCCTTTTATTCATTAATCATGTAATAGCAATTTGTTCACGTATGTCAGCCATTAGAATTTCATATGATGTAAATAAAAAATTTTTTGCTTCGTTAAATTTTATGCAACTGTATTGTAGAAAATGCAAACTTAAAATATTATGCATTGCTAGGTCATAAGTCATACATATTTTTAAATATCACGAATGGGGAATACTTCTCCAATTACATAATTGTTCAAGAGGACTCCGTGATTTTCTCTTTCCACAGAATGTTAATAAATCTGACAGTAATCATCCAGGCAGAAAGAATTTCAATTTAAATAATTCCAGTCCGGTATCAGATCATATGCTACCATTTTAGTACAAATATGTAAATATTTAAGCACATTAAAAAGCGCTGAAGAGAATTTGACCAAATTTGATTAGGAGGATCTTGCTTTTCAGATTTGCTCAAACATTACAACAGAATTTTTTTTTTATGGACAGCATCTTGGCATGAAGACTTTCATTTTGTTCAAATGCGGTAGCAAGCACGAGCAACTGTCAAGTGCTCGTCGATGACAGTCCATCTCTCTATATAAAGACAATTTCTTATATTAAATTTAAAAAAAAAAAACCCAGCAGAAACCGACCATTATATATCATCCTTTTATCACTGACTGTTAGTTTTGTGCCAGTGATTCCAATATGTCGTCAAATAATTTACCGTCATTATTAAGAACAGAAATTTCTTTAACCAGATTCTTTAAAACTACACCGTAGGACTTTTGCCCCATATGACCATGCGATGCCTGACCACAAGCGATTTCAGATTCATGCAGATGATATCGCTCTGTCAGCCAACATTACTTTGCCAGCTGTGGATATATTTTGCTAAGTTTACCATTTCATAAAAAAAACTATTATACTTCCTCAGAGATGCATAAGGTTGAAAATAAGTATTCACATACAATACAATATAGTTCATGATTATATCAATTCTGTTCCAATTTTCACACTCTGCCGCTCTTCCAGTCGAATTTGTATTCGTTCACCATCAGACAGATCATATTATGTTATGGTGTCCGTCCATCTACCTGTCACCAATTTCTGCCAATTATTCAGGTCGTTCAACATCTGCCGCTTTGAAACTCTGAAAATATATTGCACTCTAGGTAGGAAAAACCTTGTTGATTTTTTAACAAAAAAGTTGAATATACTGCGACTAAAAGAATAAATATGGTTTATGTATAATAAATCGAGTTCTTCGCCATCTACAAATAAAATATTGTGAATGGCTTCTACTTTAGGCAAGGTAGACTGTCAGAGGTTAAGGTTACTGACTAATGGAGTAAACGGTTTCCGCACAATAACTCGAAGTTATTCACCATCTACACTTACCCGACTTTGTGGGAGTCATGTGCTTGGAATAAAAAAGAACAGTTACCAATTTCGAAGTCAGAAGATCGACGGTCAAAAGACACTGTGATAAGAAAATAAAATCGTTTCAGCACAGAAAAGTTAGATATTGACAATGTACCATCACCAAAGTTTTTGGATGGCTTACACACTGGGTAAGAAAAAATCTAGGTCGCATTGGCTGAAGAAAGAAAAATGGTTCTATTTCGTTGACCAAGCTTTTGCGGCTGGACTGAATGCAAGTTAAAGAAAAAAAACTGATTATGGGGTTCAGATGTTAGTTTTGTAAGTCTGATTAAAAGTTCATGACTTTTGTAAATTAAGTTCTGTTCAAGACTGCACATCTTAAAGTCTTGGATATCCATTGGTCAATAACCTTCCAAGTTATCCATACCGTACTAATGCCTACATCGATGGTAGAGGACTAGGTAAAGTGCGTCGTTCACGGTCCTCTTATTTTAATATTTTGTACCTGGATCAGTTACATGTACATATGATTACAACGCCGATACTCTGTCGGAGCTAAACTTTCGTATTTCATTTGTTTCAATGACGTCAGTCATTTGTTTTGTTACTGCAATGTACGAAAATAAAATAAACATTTTTTTTTCAAGTTCTGTCATTTTATTATTTTGTTCGTCTGCCGATTGCATTGGCTTCTATGTTCTCAGATCACCATCTTGGATATAACGCCACCACCACCTCATAATATTTGACCTTTTCGAATGAGTAGAAAAGCCCTCAACAAATATTATCGTTCCGCAGTCGATTACATTTTCAGATTTTGTTAACATTAGGTAATACTTGTGGCTACCTCTCAAATCCACCATTGTACCGCATTGCCTATGTGAACTGATTATTGGTCTTCGTTAATTGTATCAGTCCTTTAAATACGTGTGATGTAACGCTATGCAAGGACTGGTCCCGTTATTTGTGATTTTAATGGTTTTTTTTTAATAAACATTAATGAAGTTAATGTTCCGTCACAGAATAACGGTCCAGGTAAGACATATCTCTGCAAACGTAATGGTTTTATTTACTGATACTCAGTATAAAAAGATCATATTTTGCATACAGAGGGGTCACTGGTCTGTTCCATTTTTTAGCGGAATTGCCTACTTTGGTGGCATCTGACGATAACATGGAAACAAAAGCTTGACACCTTCATCTCATTCAGAATCCAAACATCTGGTCGGTAGATAATCTGACCGTCAATTGGTAGGGGACTTGAGGCTACCCATCGCTCCATGTTCTGATACCGAGGCATTCAGAACATGAAGAACCATACTAGCAGAATGGTTGTGGTATCCCCTAGCAGACAGCAAAAGTCGTGAACGATCTGCGAGGCCTAATATTATATATGCCCAAGTAAATTCCTGTGAAATTCAGTCTAATCGAACAACCCCACTTCCCCTACAAATTTCTCTATTCTCTATTGTAAAATTTCGGAACGTTTTGTTAACTTTGTAGCAGTTTAAATTTTAATATCGCTTGCACAGAATGAAGAATCAAATATATACAAATTGAAGAGGGATATTTTGCCTTAAAATATATGAAAAAAAGAAAGTTTATATTATTTGAATCAACCTAAGTACATTTTTCATTCGTGAAGTGAACGTATTTTGATTACTACTCGCTGATTGTGTGCGTGATCGAACTGGGGATCGAACCCACGACCTCCGGCATCGAAGTCGGACGCTCTAACCACTAGGCCACCAAAGCGATCTTACCTGCTGACAATACAATGCTTCCGCTGCAGTCGTAAAATGTGTCCTTACATCTACTCAATAAGCGTAGATATACTCAATGAGTTGGGGGGTCCGATTGATAACGGAGATGGCAAATTATTCCTTTTATTACCATAATGGGTTTTGTTATTTCCAATCTTTAAAATAATAAAAGGCATTATATTATATTACATAACCAATAAGATTGAAACCAAACCCATAACAATACCTGATGTCTCATAAATTTACCGCCATATCAATAGGTGATGGTTTCTATAAAACCACTACCATTCAAATACTTGATGGTTTCTATAAAACCACTACCATTCAAATACTTGATGGTTTCTATAAAACCACTACCATTCAAATACTTGATGGTTTCTATAAAACCACTACCATTCAAATACTTGATGGTTTCTATAAAGCCAATACCAAATAAATACTTGATGATTTCTATAAAACCACTACCATTCAAATACTTGATCGTTTCTATAAAACCACTACCATTCAAATACTTCATGGATTCTATAAAACCACTACCATTCAAATATTTCATGGATTCTATAAAACCACTACCATTCAAATACTTGATGATTTCTAAAAACAAAAACACTACCATTACAATACTTGATGGTTTCTATAAAACCACTACCATTCAAATACTTGATGGTTTCTATAAAACTGTTACCATTCAAATACTTGATGGATTCTATAAAACCACTACCATTCAAATACTTGATGGTTTCTGTAAAACCACTACCATTCAAATACTTGATGGTTTCTATAAAACCACTACCATTCAAATACTTGATGGTTTATATAAAGCCACTATCATTCAAATACTTGATGGTTTCTATAAAACCACTACCATTCAATTACTTGATGTTTTCTATAAAGCAACTACCATTCAAATAATTGATGGATTCTATAAAACCACTAACAATAAAATACTTGATGGTTTCTATAAAACCACTACCATGTACCATTAAAATACTTGATTGTTTCTATAAAACCTCTACCATTACAATACTGGATGGTTTCTATAAAACCACTACCATTCAAATATTTAATGGTTTCTATAAAACCACTACCATTCAAATATTTGATAGTTTCTATAAAACCACTACTATTCAAATACTTGATTTTTCCTATAAAACCACTACCATTCAAATACTTGATTTTTCCTATAAAACCACTACCATTCAAATATTTGATAGTTTCTATAAAACCACTACCATTCAAATACTTGATGGTTTCTATAAAACTGTTACCATTCAAATACTTGATTTTTCCTATAAAACCACTACCATTCAAATATTTGATAGTTTCTATAAAACCACTACTATTCAAATACTTGATTTTTCCTATAAAACGACTACCATTACAATACTTGATGGTTTCTATAAAACCACTACCATTACAATACTTGTTGGTTTCTATAAAACCACTACCATTCAAATACTTGATGATTTCTATAAAACCACTACCATTACAATACTTAATGGTTTATATAAAGTCACTACCATTCAAATACTTGATGGTTTCTATAAAACTGTTACCATTCAAATACTTGATGGTTTCTATGAACCACTACCATTCAAAAACTTGATGGTTTCTATAAGACCACTATAATTTACTATTAAAATACTTGATGGTGTCTTTAAAACGACTACCATTAAAATACTGGATGGTTTCTATAAAACCACTACCATTCAATTACTTGATGGGTTCTATAAACCCACTACCATTTACCATTAAAACAATTGATGGTGTCTACAAAACCACTACCATTACAATACTTGGTGGTTTTAACAAAACCACTACCATTCAAATTCTGGATGGTTTCTATAAAACCACTACCATTACAATACTTGATGGGTTCTATAAAACCACTACCATTTACCATTAAAATACTTGATGGTGTCTATAAAATCACTACCATTCAAATACTTGATAGTTTCTATAAAACCAGTAACATTAAAGTACTTGATGGTTTTTATAAAACCACCTACATTAAAATACTTGATGATTTCTAAAAAAGCCTACCATTTACCATTAAAGTCCTTGATGGTGTATATAAAATCACTACCATTCAAATACTTGATGGTTTCTATAAAACCACTACCATTAAAATACTTGATGGTTTCTATAAAACCACTAACATTACAGTACTTGATAGTTTCCATAACTACCATTACAATTCTTGATGTTTTCTATAAAACCACTACCATTCAATTACTTGACGATTTCTAAAAAACCACTACCATTCAAATACGTGATGTTTTTTTTTTTATAAAAACAACACCATTCAAATACTGGATGGTTTTTTTATAAAACCACTGCCATTTACCATTAAAATACTTGATGGTGTCTTATATAATTACTACCATTCAAATACTTGATAGTTTCTATAAAACCACTAACATTAAATTACTTGATGGCTTTTAAAAAAAGCCACTGACATTAAAATACTTGATGGTTTCTATAAATCCACTACCATTTACCATTAAAATACTTGATGGTGTCTATATAATTACTACCATGCAAATACTTGATAGTTTCTATAAAAACACTAACATTAAATTACTTGATGGCTTTTATAAAACCACTGACATTAAAATACTTGATGGTTTCTATAAAATTACTACCATTCAAATACTTGATAGTTTCTATAAAACCACTAACATTATATTACTTCATGGCTTCTATAAAACAACTACAATTGCTATACTTAATGGTATCTATAAAACCACTGCCATGTACCAGTAAAATACCTGATTGTTTCTATAAGTCCTCTACCATTCACATACTTGATGGTTTTTATCAAACCACTGACATTAAAATACTTAATGGTTTCTATAAGACCACTACCATTTAAGTACTTCACGTTTTCTATAAAACCACTAAATTTACAGTACTTGATGCTTTATATAAAATCACTAAAATTACAATACTTGTTGGTTTCTATAAAACCACTACCATTCAAATACTTGATGGTTTCTATAAAGCAACTACCATCACAATACTTGATGGTTTCTATAAAACCACTACCATTCAAATACTTGATGGTTTCTATAAAACCACTACCATTATAATACTTGTTGGTTTCTATAAAACCACTACCATTCAAATACTTCATGGATTCTATAAAACCACTACCATGCAATTACTTGATGGTTTCTATAAAACCACTACCATTCAAATACTTGACGGTTTCTATAAAACCGCTACCATTCAAATACATGATGGTTTCTATAAAACCACTAACAATAAAATACTTGATGGTTTCTATGAAACCACTACCATGTACCATTAAAATACCTGATTGTTTCTATAAAACCTCTAACATTCAAATACTTGATGGTTTCTATAAAACCACTACTATTCACATATTTGATGGTTTCTTTAAAACCACTACCATTACAATACTTCATGGTTTCTATAAAACCACTACCATTCCAATACTTGATGGGTTCTATAAAACAACTACCATTACAATATTTAATGGTTTATATAATGTCACTACCATTCAATTACTTGATGATTTCTATATAACTAATACCATTCAAATACTTGACGGTTTCTATAAAACCCCTACCATTCAAACACTTGACAGTTTCTATAAAACCACTACCATTCATATACTTGATGCTTTTTATAAAACCACTAACATTAAAATACTTGTTGGTTTCTATACAACTACTACCATTCAAATACTTGATGGTTTCTATAACAACACTACCATTTACCATTGAAATACTTGATGGTGTCTATAAAATCACTACCATTCAAATACTTTATGGTTTCTATAAAATCACTAACATTAAGTTACTTGATGGTTTCTATAAAACCACTACCATTCAATTACTTGATGGTTTCTATAAAACCACTACCATTACAATACTTGATGGTTTCTATGAAACCAACTACCATTTACCATTAAAATACTTGATGGTGTCTATAAAATCACTACCATTCAATTACTTGATGGCTTGTTTAAAACCATTACCATTCAGTTACTTGATGATTTCTATAAAACCATTACCATTCAAATACTTGATGGTTTCTATAAAACCACTACCATTACAATATTTGATGGTTTCTATAAAACCACTACCATTCAAATACTTGATGGTGTCTATAAAATCACTACCATTCAATTACTGGATGGTTTCTATAAAACCATTACAATTCAATTACTTGATGGTTTCTATAAAACCATTACCATTCAAATACTTGATGGTTTCTATAAAGCAACTACCATCACAATACTTGATGGTTTCTATAAAGCCACTACGATTCAAATACTTCATGGTTTCTATAAAACCACTACCATTACAATACTTGATGGTTTCTATGAAACCAACTACCATTTACCATTAAAATACTTGATGGTGTCTATAAAATCACTGCCATTCAATTACTTGATGGTTTCTATTAAACCACTATCATTCAGTTACTTGATGGTTTCTATAAAACCACTACCATTACAATATTTGATGGTTTCTATCACTACCTTTACAACACTTGATGGTTTCCATAACTACCATTAAAATTCTCAATGGTTTTCATAATTTTTACATAAGCCTGAAAAAATATAATGCAAAGCAAATGAGGGCTATTGACGTAAATCTCGAATATATATATATATATATATATATATATATATATATATATATATATATATATATATATATATATATATATATATATATACTGAATGCCAAAAAGTAACTCTAACAATGGATACTTGTACGCAATAATTACTCAATGTACATTACCTTCTACGAATCTAAATTTACAAGGGTTTAATATTAATATATCAATAAATCCATCTATCGAAGCGAATACTATTTGTGGATTTTGTAAACCTGAAGAAAATTCTTAGACATCTAAATAATGCGAAGAATTCTAATACTCACTCATAATGTGCTTAAAGTGCTTCACCACCAAAATGTAGTTCAGAGTTCTCTTTCGACGAAAATAATCCATATAGACA